GTGTGTGTGTGCGTGCGTGTGAGAGAGAGAGAGAGAGAGAGAGAGAGAGAGAGAGAGAGAGAGAGAGAGAATTACATGGGCTAAATCACTGAATATATGTAAAATGATTTATTTTGATGGTTTTGAGACATGAAAAATGTCGAAACTAATGCATTTAATTTATATTTTAGAAATAAACAATAAATAGAAATAATGAATAAATAGATATAAAAAAAAACATCTCAGTTCAATGAGTTTATCGGAGGACACAGAAAGTAAAATGTTGCCATCTAGTGGAGAATGTTCGGTGAATTTTTTTTATCATTTTATTTTCTGATCGCATTCTTTAGCTTCTATCTTTTTTTTTCATTCATGTATTTCAGTTGAACTAAATGTGATTCCCCAACTCTAAAACTTTTTCTGTAATAAAACTACACTACGCATGCGCACAACCGTTTGGGGAAATCACGTGACCACGTTTTACTGAGCATGCGCGAAGCTTTCCTGATTCTTCAGACTTAGCCACAGGAAATGTAGTTTTTATTTGCCTTTAAACATTAAAATACGTTCCAAACGAAGGTAAGGATATGTTTATGTAATGTGTCGCTGAAGTATTTATTTGAACTAACTGAACTACGTCCAGTTTTTTTTGTGACTTCACGTTAGCTTCTGTTGTTTTGTTTTTTCCCCCTCTTTATTCGGGATTTTTTTTTAAATGCGTTTTTACTGTCGAAAAGATCATACCAAATAACTGAATTAACGGTTCGTGAATACGTGAGAGCAAAGCTTAAATTCGTCTTGTGTCCCAAACAAAACAAACTTTGTTTTTCATAGATTTTTAAGGTTTCACTACATGTGTTTACACTTCCTGTTGTTTATTTAACCTAATCTGTACATTTTTTAAAACTAGACTTTATATCTTACTTTTTAAAACCCAAATTAAAAAAGATATATTCTGCAATCCTGAAAAACTGTCGCAGAGCCATTTCATGACAGATTGGTTGAAGGTGGACGCTGAATATTAATATTCACCAGAACTTCAGTGTGGAAAAAGGCTAAGCTAATGTTAACCATGTCAGTTTAATAGCAAATGACTCCCAAAATATGTAGTTTTAAACTTTATTTGTTGATTATATTTAGGTTTTGGTGAATTTACATATTAAAATATGGTCTGAACGAAAGTATATGTTTTATATTTTTGTTTTTCTTTCGCCTTAGCTTCACTTTCGGTTATAAACGAGTTATCGCAACTGATTTTTTTTAACTAGTTTGTTATATTACCGTGAATCAGTTTCAAGGTTCCCGTTTATAAGAAACACAACTATTATTAAATTCGGATAATGTGTATTTGTTGTTGAGGTTTAAAAGCATTTCCAGTAAGTACACAAAAATACTTAGAGCACTTACAATAAAGTTAGTCATAAAGTGAGAGTTTTTACTAGACTTGCATTTTAGATTTTGTTATTCAGAATTCCTATACTCAGGTGTGTTTTAGGTATGCCTCATAATTTTGATCAAAACAAACTGTTTTTGTCAAAACAGATGAGAATTGTGCTGAAAATTGAAGGCTGACTTAAGTTTCTTTTTTGTTAAACTTAAAGCTATGAAAATGTCAAAGGCTAAATGACATAAAAAAAACACTAAAATAACTTTTCCCCCATTCTTTTCTTTTCTGTTTGTTTTGTTTGTCTAAAAGTCTAATTTACACAAGTTAGTTCCAAAGTAACAAGTTGATTTTAAGCTACGTAAAACCAGTTTGTAAGGAATGACTCTGAGATTCTTGGCACCTTCCATGTCTTGTTCTGCATTTCACAGCAGAAAATATAGATCAGAAAAATTGCAGTAAAAAGATATTATGCATTGTTTTCAAGTTTGAACTTTCACTTTAATGTCCTTCTTTTCTTTTTCTTTTTCTTAAAATAAAAGAAATGAGTTTGCAGCAGAGAGCCAGAGACCTGGTGAGAATGTATGATCATATTTTGGAGCAGCAGATCGTGGGACGGGGCTACAGCTTGGCGTGTAAAGATGAAAAACTGTGGAAGCAGGTGGAAGATCATCTAAAGGACGTGGACGCCCAGGAGGTGCACTGTCTTGGTCTGGATACGCTTAGAGAGATGGAGGAGTCGTTGAAGGCAGCTGCGGCTTCAGCGCCACCAGGATCCTACAGCAGGAGAGTCAGAACCAGGGGAGGACTTCGAGGTCTGGCTAGAGCTTTTGAAGTCATGGAGCAAGCAGCTCTAAACCTGTACCTGGGTCCCTGGAGAAAAGAGTACAGTGTCATCAAGGTTGGCTAAATAGAAGCTGAAATAATCAAACCTTGTATTAAATATTAGTGCAGAGTTTAACATGATTATTTTCTATTCAAGATGTACTCTGGAACATTCACCCACTATATCTCATCGGTGCTATCCATGCCTCAAATCGAGAGCCTCTTTGGGCTGTTGGGATACCAGCACAACTCGTTTCGGCCTGAAGAGCTTTGTCTCCGGGAGTCTAAAGTCAGACCCGCTTCTCTGGACGACCTCCTGCGTTTGTCTTGTGCCTTTTTTGTAGCCCGCTGTGAGTGCCAACTTCTCCTGTCAGCTCTGGGGAATCATGTCGGTGACGCTCAGTGGGAGCTGCACATGGTGTGGGAGAGGCAGAGAGGAAACAGCCTGCAGGTACGACTCAATTAAACTAATTAAAGCCATGTCAGTAAAGCTAAGTTTGTCTCCTCTGTGGAAGATTCTTTGTTAACAGTCAGATGTTCAAACTCTTTACTTTGTGTTAAAGGGGACCTATTATGCAAAATTCACCTTTTTTTTTACAAGTTTTTATGCTTCAATTTGGGTCTGTACTGCTTCCAGAAACAGTCCAAGTGCCAAAAAATTCTCCCAGCTGCTTTTTGACAATATGTAAATTAGGGATGCAAGTTATCGATTAATGAATTAATCTAAAGTTGATTGATCTTATCGATCGACTAACGATTAATTGATAAGCGGCAATTATCTTCAAAACCTGAGTTTTCATATGTTCTATAACATAGACTGCATTTTTGTTGCTGAATTTCAAAAAGCATTTATTGTCAGCTGTATCAAATACTGCTTGAACAAACAAAACATCTCACATATTAAACATATTTATAAAATATAATAAACAAGGAACCTATTAGGTTGCTGAATGGAAAAAAAAGTACAAAATCTAACATGAAACTCTTAATCCTCATGGGGATGAGCAGATATATAAAATTATTATTTAAATAAGGGTAACATTAAAGTTAAGATTAATAAAAAAAAGCTATTAAAATAATGAAAATCCCTGAGAGAGGTGAGAATACAAATAAGAATACTAGGAACTGAACACTACACAAGAACAAGTGCTCCAGGTCCGCCATGCAGCACGGATGAATGAACGCTGTTAAGGTGGTAACTCAAGGAGCTTGTGGAGTTTTTATACTTTAAATTAGAACCACATAAAGTGCATTTTGCATCCTTGTCTTCATTATACAGAGTAAAATAATCCCACACCAGACTCCGTTTGCACCTTCTCACGTTTCTACTCTGGGGTGCCTCCGCCATGATTAATTTCCCTCGCAAAAACTTTTACTAAAGTGTAAGCAGCGGCGCCCTCTCCTGGACGGCGGGCGCATTACGCGGATTTAAACAATTAATCTAATAAAAATGACTTTAATCTAATAAACCATTAATCGACAATTAATCGTAAGTCGATTAATTGTTAACATCCCTAATGTAAATGTAAATTTGTCATTTAGCACAAACTAATGTTGAACAACAGTGCGTGGCTGTGATCGACAACCAAGGAGGCAAGCAGCTTCCAGGTGAGCAGCTTGGCCTTTCTCCTCCACTACGGTGGCATCGGGATGCGGTGACAGACGTGTGTTGCCCTCCCCGGGCACCAGTCTGTTGCTCTCCCCTGAGGTGGTCGCACAGCGTGCAGCGTGTCGTCCTCAACCGATCCGGTGGGGAGGAATTGTGCTGGAGGACCGGAGACTCCCACGCCACAGCGCTGGTGACACGGGAGCCTCCAGGCTACTGGGCGCGGACCTTGACCTCCCCTCGGTTATGCTGCGTTCACACCAAAYGCGATTTCAGCTTCAAAATCGCAGCCAACGCTGAAGTTGGTTGCTCGTGCACTTTGAGGTCAGATGCAGGTCAGCTCTTGAAGCGCTGCACGGCAAGAGCCTCCCCACCCCTCCCTCCTCTGTCGGGCTCTGTTTAATGTCGGACAAGGAAGTGGCTTTGCTTTATTTACAGAGAGCAAGAGCATGTCACGCTCATCAGATAATTAATTCATAATTAATTCACCAGATAATTCAGAGTAGAGGCTCACAGCTCGCTTTCAGGACTGTTTTTCCAGTCTGATGTGTCGCTGCCACGCATTGGTGCAGATATCTCTGTCAGGACACCGACTGCAGGCACTCGATTTCAGCTAAAGAGCTCCTCTCCATCTGTTTCAGGTTAGTGGACATCATTCAGCAAACTGTCCCGTCGGGAAATATGTCGCTACGTCACACAGTGGAGTCTCTCTGATTGGTTGRCGYRGCGCGYCGAGCYRCAAAAGTTCAGATTTTCTAACTTCAGCGATTTGCGCATCAAGCGCGTCGAACGCTCAGATCGTTCAAATCGTTCAAATCRCGCTGCTCTAATCACGCTTGAGGCGCCGCAGCACTTCCCGACGTTGCTTGAAGCGCGTCCACCATAGACTTTGTATGTAAATCTGCTGCTCCTGATGCTGAAATCGCGTTCGGTGTGAACGCACCATTAGTCTTCGCCAGCTTCAGGAAGCGAGGAAGGACACGCKTTTTCCTTCCCGGCACAAAGACGCCTGACTTCGGTCAGACGCTCCAGTCTGTCCCTGCCAAGCGGTGGGTGGCTGTACTGTGCACAGCCCGTCTACCGTTGTACCATTGTGCATYTGCTTGTACCAGCCATTTATTTTCACGTTTCTGAAGTGCTAAAAAACACTGTATTGTGAGGGCGGAGCKAATGTAAACAAAATGTTGGGAGAGCGTTTCCAACAGCAGCTTCTTTGCATTAACAGCTCATTCTGAAGAGAGCTCAGAACAGGCAGAACTGAAAAGGTGAACTCTCGTTATCTGAGATTCATTTTATGAATTAAATCAAATTAACATGTTTTGTATAGCCCAAAGTTGGATCCTAACTTGTTGAAGGACCTCCATAATAGGTCCTCTTTAACAAAAGCAATTATTCTCCAATGATGCAGACATGTCAAATGTTTTAGAATGAATAAATGGTTCAGCAGTTTAAAGTATAAAATGTGCATTTTGTACTTTTCAACAATATTTTCATATGGCTCCTTTAATTGTTCGTGTCTCTTGACAGGTTGCCTTTGAAAACGTCAAGAAGCAGCTTGACGTCAGCGAGCCTCTGATGGAGCTGCCTGAAGGAGAAGTTGATCTGTACAGAGGTGAACACGTTAACGAGGAGCCAGAAGAAGGTGTTGATGAAGAGAATCCCCACTCCGTAATCAGGGCAGTTCAAGGCAATAAAACCTCTCCCGCTGGCCAAAGGCGCAGCAACGGAGCGAGTTTTACGTCCTCGTCACCTGAGTCGGACACTCGTAAAAGTTTTTCAGCAAACAAGAGCAAAAGCAAGCGTTCATCTGAGGAGTTGAAGTCTGATCAGTTAGACTCGCTGCAGATACACGTGTCCGGGTTCGGCAAGGCTGAGCCTGACGTTAACCGTCACTGCAGCTGCCTCAGTCGTCCTCCTCTAATTCTTAAACACTGCTTTGATTGCAACGCCTTGCATGATGTCACCTGTTGCTTCCTTGGAGATTGCACTATGAAAGGCCACAAAGTGCAGTTTGCTGATGAGCTGCCGGAGAAAAAAGAGATGTCGCCACTGAGTGGGAACGGCACCAACGATCCGACCTGCAGCAACGCTGCCGGGACCCCAGACGTGTGCGATGATGCTAAATCAGCAGCCCTCGAGCCAATCAGCTACCACGTCTGCTGTGACTTGAGGGTCGCCAACCCGGACCCTCGGATCCTGTGTCACAAATGTCGTGCCTTCCACTCCTCTAAATGTGTGGAGGGAAAATTGTGTGGTGTAAATCATAAGGTCAGTGAGCTGGGACGCTGCTCCTGTGGGAAACGTTGTGCCAGAAAGCCTTTAGTTCTGTGCCGCTACTGTGGAAGGGAGTATTGTAGCGCCTGCTGGTACAGACGGCCTCTTTCTTGCATCTGTGGCCAAACATTCGACCAAGAATCTTCAGTTTGATGTTACTGAAATGTTTTGCACTACTGAGGCACATTTAGTAGAATCACCGTGCCTTAAATCTGCTCACCTAAGGTCAATCAGTTTGCCGTTGCCTTGTACAGCAGTGTTATTACTGCTTTTGTTTCTCTTTCACTTTACCTTGTTCTATAAGCGGCCATAATCAGCATTGTGAGGGTGTGTGTTGAAATACTTGTGAGCTGTTCTCCTGGGTCACTTCACTGCAACTTGTTGCAAAGCACAACTTAATTCTTTTTATCTGTTCGTCGTTTGCACAGTTTGGAGTAAAAAAGGTTATCTCAAAGTTTGTGTAGTGTGTGTTTTGTAAAACGTGTTTATTTTGTTTGGTTATAGTGTGGCTATAATTCAGAGGAAAAATGAACTATTTAGTCACTACATATTTTACTGCGTTTTTAGTTTGTTAGCTAACAAATCAGCAGTGGTGGGCAGCACTAAACTAAAAATTAGTTGCAATAACCCTAAAGCACTAACTTTAATATTTAGGTCCCCTAATTCTAAAGCACTAACACACTTAAATATTCAGCAAAAACTAATTCTAAAGCACTAACTTTAATATTTAGGTCCCCTAATTCTAAAGCACTAACACACTTAAAAATTTAGCAAAAGCTAATTCTAAAGCATAAAAACCCAGCTGGCCCATGGAACGTTCCTCAGAGTTAACATGAGACAGTATTTTGTGTGCAGAATATTAATATTTCATCTCGTGTGGTTCCCATAGTTGGGATTGAGACCTGTTTGTGGGCCACAAAACATCAAGTGAGGGTCCCCAGATGACTTCCAGACATCAATTTAAATAAAAAAAAACTGCTAATGGAATATTTTCATCATGATCATTGCAATTTTTAAAAATAATTATAAATGAATAAAAATGAGTATCCTAGTTACTAGGTTTGTTTATAGTTATCATTACCATGTTTAACAGTTATTAGTAAAGTTTGCTACGTAAACAAGTAATATATGAGGTTGTGTGTGTCTCCAACTGTTATTTTGTGGGTCAGAAGCAAAAAAGTTTGAAAACCACTGATCTAGTAGATAATAGACCAACACGTGTGACAGTTTTCACCCTCAACTGTTGACATTAATGTTTATCAGTTACATTTAAAGAACTCAATTAGGGCTTATAAATTTATTAAGTGCTAAACCACCAGTGAATTAAGAAATTAGCAAAAGCCCTAAAGCACTAATCAGGAAATTAGTTCCCCTATTAGTGCTTTCATCCTCTGCTGCTTCTGTAGTCGGCTYGTGGAGACATGTCCAGGAGAGAAACCCAGATGTTCCTCTCCCCAGCTCGTCCTGGAGGACCCTGAGACAGACCAGTAAATCAAGAGTTTTGCCTTTTCTTCACTATGACCGAACGAAGCAACAGTGTCATTACTGAGGATGAGGTCCCAATCCATCGATCCAGCTCCTACTCTATCCTACCATCACTCGTGAACAAGCCACCCAGGTGAACTCCTCCATTGTCAAATTAATTCGTTTACATTTAAAAAATCCAACTTTTTATGCTGTTCTGTAAATTGAAAGGAGAAACATCACATGAAAAGATAATGAATTAACCATGTGCATTGACGTACTTTAAGTGTCACTTCCTAATGAAATGGACCAAATTCTTCAGCCAGTGAATTTTCTGCACAAATCCTAGTTTTTTTATTATTATTTCATAAGGCATTGAAGGTAACTGCAAAGTGTTTCAATACAGACACGTTCCAAATTGTCAGCACCTCAACACTCCAACAACATATCTATATTTGATCTTTATGTGATTTTTCTTAATTAGAAAATGCCTGCTTGAGTCATCCACGCTCCTAAATGTGTGGAGGGAAAATCTTGACGTTTAAGTCTTCTCTAATTGGTTGGTTTGCTCCAAGACAAAAACCTCTCCACTGCAGGGATGATTTCTTCCATATTAGTCATGTTAAAAAAAAGTTGAAGAGCAACATTTTAAAATGCTCTTTATTTAAAAAAAAAAAGCTGGTTGTGACCGTGGGAGAGTTTTCTATTCGTTTTGCTCCAGCCACGTGACATTAATAAAGGTTTTGCTGTCCATGTGGTCAATGTAGAGCACGCCATTCAGGTGGTCCATCTCGTGCTGGAGGATCCGAGCTGACCAGCCACTGGCCTGCCACGTAACGGCTTCACCTTTTTCATTCAGACCTAGGTGGGGGAAAAAGGTACAAAAATTAAGTTTTAATCATAAAGTAAAAGTGTAATGTATTGGCAGTCACATAAACCAGAGCTAAAACGTGTGCACCTGAAACTTCCACGCTCAGGTAGCGTGGAACTGTGGCAGAAAACCCTGATATGCTCGCACAGCCCTCCTGAAAAAGCACCGTCTGACTGTTCAGCACCCTCAGCTCAGGGTTCACGAAGATCCTCAAGGGCTGAACAGAGAGACGCCGGGCCTCCCTTACTGCAGGTGAAACCTCCTCGAACATCTTCACTGAACATTCAAGCATCAGGATGCGGAGAGGCACCCCGATCTGAGGCGCACTCAGTCCCACACAATCAAACTTCCTCATTACTTTCTTCATGGTGTTGATGACCTGTTGGACCTTAGGGCTTGTTACAGCTGCTGGATCGACAGRAGACGCAGGTGATCGCAGAATGGGATCCCCTACCTGGCACACATGGCTGTACGGAGGACTCGGAGGGGAGAAGATTTTGCGTTTCATGTAGTTGAAGTAGGAGCGCACTTTAACATTGCTGCTCATAGAGCGTCTACAGGCTGAKATGTGTGGAGGAAGAGCAGAGGCTATGGTTCGGTTCAAGGCTGTGGGACCAGGACGAACACCAAGTCTGAAGCCTGTCCAGGAGAGCTGGAGCAGAGACACAGATAACTTCGTGGTCATGGTAGAGCTGGAGCACGAATGAGTCTGTAGGGACAAAAACAGGAATATTGCAATGTCAGAAAATTAAAYAACATGATTAAATTTTGACTTAATGTTTTTAAGCAAATACTAGATAAACAGAATACCACAAGAAGTGTTTTAAGTAGGCTCAAAGCATATATTTAATTTTCTTTCACTTTGACATGTAAAGTGCGTTCCTTTTGCTCCCCGACCGACCCCCAATATTTAGCATCTTCAACTTTACCCTCAATACGTCCAGAATTTCTAAGAATTCAGTCTGGAATCTTTAAGACGTTGTTTATTTTGATGAAATTGTTCCAATTTTGAAGCCACGACTAGTTTAGCCTACATGTATCTATAACACCGCCCGGCGGGGTTGTCATGTACAACGAAGCAAGCTCCTCCTTTAGCAACTGCTAAARTCCTATTAGCCAGAGGTTAAAAACATGTTTTCCCATTTACGATTTCTCCCTAGTTTTGCTAAATAAATGTGATATTTGCAAATTAATAACATGACACATCTCCGTTACCTTAGAGTAATACGTGTAATCAGCAAAAACATCACATAATATGAAGGTGAAGTTAGAAGACGTATAGCATTTTCAGTCACAACACACGACTATCGGTCGTCTGCAGTGCGCATGCGCAGGATTTTCAGCTTCAAAATAAAAGTTACTATTGTTAAACAGCTGCATGGAGGTTAAGCAGTTGCTTCAAATATCTCTATAAGTATGTGTTTAAGTATTTTTTTTAGTATTTTCACTGGGAATTTGAAAATTTACTATTTAATTCACCGTTAAAATCAAATTATATTGTTCAGAACTTTTATTTTGACAAGATCGGGTGCACCTGAAGCAGAAGTAGTTTGTTCTCACTTCCTGAATTCTGCAGGTTATGGTCACGTCAGTTACTAGCCGCTACATGTCCTGCTGCGCTGGAAGAATATGGGGGTGAGATGGGGGTCCCTGTCTCATTCATGAACGGAAGCAGGTTCACTTTTGTCCGCAGATCGTCTTTGCGACAGAGAGGAGCCAGATGGAAGGAAGAGAGCTGSAGGAAGAGGATGGACGCTTCCGAAGGTCTCCAAAGTTTCCGGTGTGGATCATTGAGCACATCTGGGCTCACAAGATGATGGACATACAAGAAGGCTGGTTTTTTATTAAATTATTATGATTTTGTTGACTCGATTGTCTTAATGTGAAGGGTGTTCTTTATACAGAAGTTTGTTTTTATAAACATTGTTTTATAAACATTTTAAAAAGCAGTGTTACTTTTAACTGTTGTTTCTATTTATTTGTGATCATTGTTTTACAAATTAGATTTAGCGTGCTCTGTTTTTATGCAACTATAATATTTTCCCCATACTTTTCTTTTTGTTTGTTACTTTGTATGAGTCGCTGTAGGGATGTTAAATGAGAAAAAAAAAACAAAATCAAGTGTGAAATCAAATTTCATATTGTATCTCCGCAGTCGTCGACCCCTCCAGCTGGCCAGATGTGGACTCCCAGCCTCTGAGCCTCGAAGACTCGTGGAGGCTGCGCGTCGTCTCCGCTCAAGTTTACTCCATCGTGAAAAACAGGGACATGAAGAACTACGAGAGAGTGATGGGGTTTTTGGACGCCACCTACAGACTTCTGCCCAGACTTGTGCGCGCCATCAAACACATGAAGATCATGTTTGGACTCAAGACGATGGTGGGAGTAAAAGATGTTGACCATGTTGTTTTATTCCTTCACTTGATTACTCACCTTTTTTTTTCCTGTTGTCTCCTTTTGCAGGTAATCATGTGGATGCTAAAAGAGGGCAAAGGAATGATCGACACTGTGTCTAAAGTTGGACACTTCTTCCCAAACAAACTACCTCAATACCAGGATCAATGTGTGAGTGAAACTGGAACTGTTTGTACTTTTTTGATTAAGTTGTGAAAAAAAAACTATTATTTCTGTTATTGAAATGCTGCAGTGAGTCATTTTTGCAGATGTGAAAACCTAAGCATCTGTTTGTTTTCTTTCACAGAGTCAACGTGAAATGTTCCTGATGAGGAAGAACCACGTCGACTTCAAGAGTTTTGCACAAACACTCGCTCTGAACAAGAACAGACTAGAAGAATATATGAAGGTGAGTTCAGAACAGCAAAGCAGCTTATTTTAGGTTGAGATAATCGTTCTAATCTAACTTTCAAATCAAAGTTTTCTAACAAATATATCTTCAGAAGCAATGACGTTACTCCAGACTGATAAAAACTGAGTTTTAAAACCGGCGCTCCCTTTTTAGAAAACCAGCTTGTGATAAATTGCCAAATTTCACAAACTGCATCATTTTAAAGCTTTTCAAACAAGAAGTTTAGGTCCTGTTTACACAAGACCGGTCTCTGGAAATGCTAATTCTTACTGGGGTGAATACACACAAAAAAAAAATCACCTGTTTACATGGAACCACTGCAGTAATACCAGGCAGGGTTGCTAAATGAGACATATTAAAGTGTTTTACTGTTCCTTTAAAAGAACATATTTTGAGTCTAAACAGCTGATTTGTTGTGCATATATGACCCACTCAGTCATATACTGTATACCGAGTGAAAGTGAAAAGGCTGCATGATCACAGTCCAAACCCGGTGATTAAACTAAGGTTCSTTTGGACCTAGGATAATTTTTGTGTTTTGCTTTTACAAGCTGCAAAGGGTGCGTAACAGAAAAACACTCTGCTGTCTCTAATTTATCAGTGTGCATTGCCAATGCACACTATTGTGATTGTTTCCCATCCAAGTCATCTCAACTTTGCCATGCTTCTCCTCCTGCATACTTTGTCCTAGAGCTGCCATTGTAATTTATATCTGTAAAGCCCCTGTGCCAAATGATG